TATTTAAAATTTAATTAAATCGCTGAGAATATTTAGATAGCATTTCGGTGTCTATAAATTACAAAAATCGGATAGCTACGTTAAGTTGGCGGTCCGAAAAGAAAATTGAATTTTCTTGGAAACGTTTTGGTTAAATCTTACAAATAGTTTGATGTCAATATTATAAACCGTGTGTAAAGATAGTTTAGTAATTTGACACTAATTTGAAATATAAATGTAATAACCAGTAAGTGACCTTGTCATTATGTTTATATATTTTAATTTTTTAGTTTTTGTACAAGTAAAATACTGCAAGTTGTGAGTGCTTTCAGAACTATAGTAAAAATATAATAATATTTTTTGAGCTTATTTGGGAGGATTAACTCCTCATTTAACCCTAAACTCAACATTCTGTGTGTATGTACTTATTACTATGTGCACCATGCGAGTAGACATATTAAATATATGAGTTTGACTTGTCTGGTATTCCTTCAACAGTAATACCTTTATTTTACGAATAAGTAAGTAAATATAAACATTATTATTATACAACTTAATAGAATTAAAGATCCATTCTGAAATGTTATAAGGTTTATTTCAAACACCCCAAAATTGCAATTATATTTTACCTAGTACATTAAATTAATTTAAAAGTAAGCTAGTTATAAGTATAACTGTAGAAGTATATACATTTTTATATCAAACTTTGTAATTAAACAAAATCAAATACTTAAGTTATATTTATATTTTAAATGAAATGAAAAAAAAATAGATAACTTTATCAATTTCAATTTAAAAATAATAAATTAACTGATATTTAATTAAGAAGAAAATCAGTAATTAAAAGGCATACAAAATTAATAAATTGAAAAATTGTAAGGACAGTTAAATATATATGAATTAATATTTAATTAAGGAAAAATATTAGAAATTTTCTATTATTGTATTATCCTTGGATATAACTCGAACTTTTTGGCCGGTTCCTTCAAGTTCGAGTTTACCAAGTCCGACTAACCAACTTGTAATTATTATTATTGAACTCTAATAATAGTCGTATACGACATGTTACGTATTTCTGTTACTTAACATATCTTACATACCTACACTCTACAGCTATAAATAAATGTGAAAATCAACATCTCTAGAGTAGCTAACACTGAAATAATTTTCATTTTGATCAAAACCAGAATAATAATTTAAGATTTATTAGCTATTTTTGAGTAAAAGTCTTTGTAAGTTTATTGTACTTAGTGTTCATTATTTTATTGTGATAATTCGATCAGTCTAACACAAGTTGCTGTGTTATACGCGTTGGTATACTTAATATTTTATTATATCATTAAATGAATAAAAATATATAATCTTATTTTTTTTTGTGCTTAAGGTAAGTTTAAAAAAGCTAAAAAGTCCCCTAAACACGAATGAAAAATGTATGAAATAACGTAAGTATTGTTTATTAGTATTATTTGCTATTCGAATAATTGAATATCAATAAATACATTTGTGAATGTCTTGATATATGAAAATATTTAGAAATCCTACGTTAACAACCTAGCACAGAAAATAGCTTATTATCTAAAAGCTAATAGTAATGAAATTACTGAAAACACAAAATATATTACTGAGCAAGATTATAAAACTACACAACAAAATATTCCGTAAAATAAAACGTTCAGTACATATTATTAGGTAGATTTGTATTAAAATTTGTTTTGCATTACAAGTTACAACTTACTACAAATTACGACTGCCGGCTTTGGGTTGCGTTCTGCGCAATTCCGTAATCGGTTTTCCGGGAAATTGTTAGTGTAAAAATAGATTTTCGAGAATACCCCAATACCCCATACTACACTTAAGTTATTAAGCATTTTAAATTTCCACCTAAAAATCCACAATGGTATAAAGGTATTATTAAAATGCATTATAAAAAAAAACAATAGTATTTACATAGTACCTTAGGTAGATATACGTATTTTATATTATTGTAAATTATAATTATAGATAGCTAAACGCAAAGAATTTTCTACTTTCATAAAACTACTGTGCTATCCCTATGTTCTAACAGTAGCTATATTCTAATACTATTCGCTATAATATGTTTTATGTATAGAGCAATCGATAGTAAAATTGTTATAAGTTTCAAATTAATTAATAAAAATAATGATTTATTAGGCGGATTTATGTCGTACTGCAGTATATTTCCGCCACTTATAGTTTAGATATATTTTGATGGTCAAATGCCAACAAATCAGAAATTATGAGTTATGGAATGTACATTTAAATTTACTTTAATATGGTCGACTAGTTTTGTAAATGGTTATATTTTGTAGTTGTGACAATATATTGTGGGGTGAGCGTTTGTTTAACATAATATAATGTCTAGGCCCTTGGGGTAATCAGCCACTAGGACATTGCTATATGGACAAACGGTGTAATGTAATGGGGTCAATTGTGAGTATACGTACTTAGTTTTTTTCATATTTTTTTATGATTATAATTATTAGAGGTACTAATAGTAGCTACTTGAATTATTTGAACTCAAATAATTGTCTATGTTGTGCCTGGAACAGAGATTCAAAGTGACAGAACATACTGAAGTACTTTGAGTTTTGACATCCTCTAATTAGTAATTATAAACAAAACATTGCTACCGAAAGAGACGATTCAATTGTGGTATATGACATTTATGTGCAGTAGATTAAACGTCAAACGATTAACCAGTGAGTTTCGAATTCAAATATAACTGATTATTTCGTTTTACGTTTTTATACTTTTAAAAGTGTTACAATCTATAATATCTATAATATTATATTGATACCACAATTTACAATATCGAAACATTTATTTTATTATATTGTAGGTACCTATATACTGTTAGCTTATACCTGTGACAAATTGTCAGTTGAATAATACCAGGATTTACATTGTTTTAAACTCCATTAAATGTAAGCTACATACATTTTTTACACAGCTAGTTAAGTGTTTTTTACCTTGTATCATTTTAGAGTTTGAGACAAAAAAATTTACAATATTATAATAACTATTTTATTTTATATAACCTGCACAAACATAAAATGTTCGTTTTTGTAAGCCAAAAAATCCCTGCGAGTCCCTTTTTAAAATGTAAAATTTTAAAATTGGCTTCGAGGTAAACATGAATTTTAGAACCATTTGGCTTTGAGTTGCTTACACACACATATGACACACACGTTGTCTTTTATTAGGATATAATATATCAATTATTATTTATTAATAAATTATTAAGTACCTATTTAAGTACATATATTTTATTATACCAATGCGCTGTATTATTATAAGCTTGCAGTAACTTGTAAGACAAATAACAATATTAGCAGTCGGTAGGTATTTAACATTCATAGTGAAATACTGAAATTCGTTTTGCATTTGATGGAATTTAGAGGATGCTACACCCGCATGTGTTGTCACTTGTCTCTGTCTTACGAATGTACAACTAGCAAAAACTGTTATGTGTGGGATACAACCACTCAGTCAGTAGTCCAAACAGAGGCATCAAAAGTTTACACAACCTATACAAGATAATATTTTCTGTGTCGTGGCGTTTTTATTTGTTTGATATCGTTAATAAGAAAAAAGTTACAATACCTACTTTTAAAAATCTGATATTTTTACGTTTTCCAAACTTTTTGATACATTGGCCTTATCAAAAATATAAAAACGATACGACACAGTTAAAATTCCTCTCTATTCTTGGTGAAAATTTGGTTTCCTAGGTATACCTTCAGCCTTTTCGAGTTTTTCTTCCTCGACACTATGTTTTACATTTTTAAGACGGAGCACGGAGACGTACACTCGGGTGTAGCTATAGGGTCCTCTTAATAATTAATCTGGAGAATAATTGGAAAATGTCGTAGTCGTTAATCATAATATATTATTATATAATACGACTGAAGCTAACCGTCGCCCAACACACACACAAGACACAAATCACAATATTAATTCTACATTAAACAGTGCTTGCGGGTAGGTACCATTGTTTGATATAAAATATTTGAATTAAATATAACACGAAAGCTTCGCGTGTAACTCGAATGCAACCCCCGCCCGATTCCCTTAAACTTGTCATCGTCCCACCTTCCCATATAGGTACTCGTTGTACGTATAGCCGCATAGGGGATGGGTTTGGCAGCGGATCGTTGCTACCCCGGTTTTGGTTTTGTTGTGCACGTGTTGTCAAGGAACTATTTTAATATATTAACTACGTCTAAAATATAATGCATAACGACCTCACAAAACTTGAAGAGTGTATTATATAATACATAATACGGACATTCCGGGTAGGTGGTACCATGGGTACCGCCGGTGGTGGACGCGAAAGACCTAAAATAAATGCGTCTTGAATTCGCGCGCACAATATATAAGCCCGCGGCGCGTGCTCGGTTTATACGTGTAGTGGTATTATATAGGTACCTACTCGTAATATATAATGCTAAACACGCCACGAGGGGAGAGAAAAAAATCGAATTTTTATTATTATTATCATATCGGCGTGGTGTTAGCGACACGCATTGCACCGTTTCATCGGGAGGGGGGGAAGGGTAGTTTTATATAATAATATACCTATACACGCGTATTCCGAGGTCAGCGAGCGAGCGTGTGCACACGCCGCGGGTACATCAATCATAATTTTATATCGTTTCATCGTCGTCAAAACCCGCGCACGACATGGCCGTTTTTTTTACAATATTATATTATCGTCGATCGTGTACGGTGTGGGGGGGGGGGGTCGAGTGGATGAGGCGCGCCAGAGCTTTTCGGCCGTCCGTCGAGCCGGGCGCGGGCGCGACCCGCCCATTGGGCCGCCGCCGGCCGTCCAATAAGCCGAAAGCTCGGCGTATCGATCCCCTCGTTGACCCCTCGCCGGACGAGCGGCATCCATGGCGCGCTCGAGGCGTCGTCGCCGTCGTCGTTGGCGGCTGCCGCTATCGCATATATCGCCGTCGTTTCGTCACGTAGGTATCATTCGCGCGCGCCTCTTCGCCGAATTCGGTTTCCGACCGGTAGTCCCGTCAGCGCGGCGCGACGTGCACGTCGCCGGACGCGCTCGTCCGTCCCCGCGGCGGCATCTGCATAGCCCATAAACGCGTATGTACATGTATGTATCACAGGCGCCCGCGTTTCGCCTCCACCGCCACCTGCAAGTCATCGGCCCGGGCGCACGCGCGATATAGTATTGTTATTGTCGTCGTACTATACCTATATACATCACACCGCACTGCCGCAGCTGTCGTCGACACACGACTCGCGACGAGCACCGTTCGTCGCACACCTGTACACAATATTAATGACGATAATAATATTAAATAGTACAATAGTAATGCCATCGGTTTCCCCGTCCGAAACGTTTAAATCGAACGGGTTTTTTTTTCAATTCACGTCCAAGTAATGTAATTATTTATCATCGCAATTACCCATAACCACAGCCACGGACGTCCGTTACGGTTTTAGGCCGCGTTCAAGTGCACACGAGGTGAGTACCTATAAGCAAAATAATATATGCCTAAGTCATAAATAATAATAATGTAATATAATGTGAAACGAAATCGTATGGTGGTCGTAAGATCAGTGCCGTGCGACAGTCGTATATTCTATAATATTATAATATAATATACGGAAGGCACGCCGCTGTAAAATTATTCTGTTAACATCATAATATTATAATATTGGGTAAACAATATTATTATGTTGTATTCAGTCGTCTGCAAACTCGTTATTTAGCCGTATGATTATAATAATTATTATTATTCTAGCTATAGTTTGTATATGTGTTGTTTTCACGTGGAATATTGCATATCATTACGTTGTGTGCATTGTTTTATCGCGGTGCGCGCGCTTCGGCCGCATACCGTACCTGATGTGTATCGTTGCAATATTATAATATTCGTTTCAGTGTGTTATCTTTTAGAGTTGTTATTACGCGTTGAAGCACGTCTAACCGACCGTACGACGGCGATCGGTGTGAACGTTTTTTGATTCACGCGCGTATATTATATTACAGTCGAACGCGTCGTCAGCGGTATAGGACGTTTGGTGAGCGAGTGCAATAGGTATTTTTACAATCATTGTACGTGTGGAAGACGTATATAAAAAATCAAATCCAATGGGTGGGGAAACCCGCAACGTACACCACCGGTGGGGTGGCGAATGATAGAGAAGGGAAGGGGCATATAATCTTTGGTGCGAGACGGCCACTATATATTACTTATAGGTACCTATTACGTGTATATTGTATATAATAATAATGTATAATTCTGTTTTTTATATACATTTTAACATAGGTATACCTATGTATCCCCTGCAAGAAAGTGGTTTCAATCAATTCCGTATAATATATAGGTATATCTGAGAGTATATCGTATTTATTAGCAATTTTAGGTAGGTACCTATATTTTGTATATATATATACATAGAGATTTGGTTTAATAATTCCAAACGAATCGCTATTCAGTGTACCTATATAATATCAGATATATTGGTACAATATTACTATACAGGAGGAAAACATATATTATTGTAGACTGCGGCCGATTAGTTTCCGCGTGTTAGCGGGATTTTGTGGTGTGTATTGTACCGTACAGGACGCAAGAAAAATATTAGGAAAAAAAGCGGAGGCCTAAAAAAAATAAAACAAAAATTAACATCTAAAACGAACCGAGTATGAAAAGGAAACACGAATTAGGTACGTGCGGTCTCGCGGGGCCCTGATTACCCGAAGCAGAACAGATAATCGCGATTATACATCATGTTGCACACGTATCTATATACCTATGAATGATATGTCGGTGGGCAAGCAGAACCGTTAGAGGTCATTTAATGAAACTTTACGGGTTGAAGAGCAGCGGGTTCGGGCCAATACTTGCGTGAAAAACACTAAAAAGACACGGATGGAGAGTTGTAGGATATAGGCTGTTTTTTATGAACAACGCATAATCTTGAAAAGAAATAATGAAAAACATTAAGCAAATTAACAAACGCCCGAGTATACTAATATTATATTAGGATAGCTAGGTATACAGTGAGCATTATTCGCTGTGTTGTAGAGTTATAAGTAACGTGTATTTTATGAACAAACTCGGAAAACTACTAGAACTATACATCTTAGTATACATTCAACACATACCAAGCAGTTTAAAGTATTTTACAAATGTCCAATAGTGTATAGTGTATACAAACATGCGTATAAAATAGGTGCATAATAGGGCAGCAAAGTCGAAAGAAAACCTAAAAAAATACAAATTCACCGGTAAAGTAGCCCTAGAAAAATACTCACTGAAAAAAAAGTCTATGCAAGGGTTGCATATAATTGTACTGTAATATAATATTTTGTTATGTTATTGGGTACTTAGTCACTTAGTACTTTTATAGTTTTACATGTATTGTATATCCATACAATTGTAAAAAAAAACCAACTTGTAGGTACCTAGTTATAGGTTAACTTTCAATTAACTGTATTTTTTACCCAACGACTGATAACGATTTTGACCGATTTGGGCCAAATTAAATATAATTTTTACTTTATTTATATTATTTGGTTGTTAGGTACCTACTCTCTTTTATCTAAACCAACTTTTATTACACAAGATTAAACCTAAACAACTGAAAAGAAACAAAATAAGAGCACAAAGGAAACTTAAAGCTCTAATAATTTAAATTTTGAAGCCATATAATATGTTCGATGAAATGGAGGATTATTGTTATGTTTTCCTAAGTATGCATATAATTTATACATTTTTTCTGAGGTTTTCTTTTATCGAGCTTTTATTTCCGCGATCCAGGCCACCATAATATAATTATTACTTATAATTTCAATAATTTAATTCAATATGCCAAACTAATAATGGTCTAAATCTAAACTGGTTGTGATGTAATATAGGGGGTGGGGTCATATATTATTATTAGATAAAGAAACCAGATGTCTCCCGAATTCGAATTATTATACAGAATTTATTGTTTGACATTAATATTTTCTATTTCTGTTAGTTTTCATCTAAAATCTTCGACTACAGTTTGGTTTTACTTTTCCACGAAGTTCACTTCTCAGCTCTCAAGTCTTGCACTATGATAATATTATTTTGACTTGATTAAGTTTTATTTATAGGTATTTGAAGCAATCCAAAAAATAATTAAATAGTTTACCTTGTTTACACTTAATGGTACATTAGCAGTGGCTCCAATACAGTAATAACATTTTGAAGTATTGCAAGTGCTTAATATTTTTATAAATTTCACATCCAATAACTAAGGCTTGCTGAAAACAAAAATCAACGTGGAATGCTTCCCGAAGTCTAGTCATAAAAATATTTACGTAACAATAATTATCAACTTATCTATCAAAATATCTATTTGTAATACTGCAATTTATTATTCTGTTTATAAAATTACAAAATGTCAAATATAATTACCAAGAAATTAATAAATGATAAAAGTGTCATTGATTGCTCATGCAATTTGTTTTCTTCTGAAAAATGTAGGTTGAAATTATCAAGAATTCTATGTAGGTACTTGCACATTCATGGAAAAATCGTTGGTATCTTGTGGAATTTTTTCTATGTATATTAGGTAATAATCAAATCGTTTATTGGCTTATTAAATATTTTATTTAGTGTAATATAGTACTAATGTAGCATTATTTACAAGATAAAACTATATCATTTTCAGAACATGGTTTTATAAATCATTATTATTCCCAAATAGGAAAATGGACAGTCTGAAACAATCGTAGTATAAGTAGAAATTTAATATATGAATAACTAATAAGTAATAACTACTAGTTTCTTTGGAACGTATTTTTAATCGTTGGATTATAAATAATCATTAGTGCGAATAAATTTTAAATTGATATAGTTCACAATTTCACATACAGTAAACTGTAGTAGACCATTCTACGGACTCACATACATGATGAACATGACAAATGTTAAATATCTACTCAGTCTATGACTGCTAAAAAATATTCTTTTACTCAAAAGTTATTCCAATAATAAGTAGCGTTACTTGTAGTTGGTATGTCACAAGCTTACTCCGACTTTAATTAGAAAAAACTTATTGGATTTATAAAATTGAATAGGTATCATATTTTTTTTTTATTATTAATGAGATTTTAACATATAATTATAATATCTCTACAATTATATACAAGTATCTTAAATAATACAAATTGGTAAAGCTCACAAACTTAAATTCGGAGGCCTGATTGTAGAATAAACTTTATTGTATGATTGAGGGTATCATATTACTTTGTGTAATGGTAGATACTACCTAGCTATTATCAACTAATAATAAACTGACAATAGTACAATACCGACGCATCATAAAGAAGAACGGAGAGAATGCAGGGTTTGTAGCATAAATTGTTTCAGATTTATTTAAAATTGTAATTTTAAATATTGATTATTAATATACATAATGACAAAAAGTTTCAAGTCCCTATGAATGAAAAATAAATTACAACTGCAAAATAACTAAAATAGATATATTTTTTTTAAATAACCAATTCTGTCAAAATGTTGTACTTTAAAATTCTTAGAAAAATGTTGCATAGTATGTAGTTTTCATATTCTGTAAAAATATGTATGTGGAACTTTGTATTAAATATTCAAGTCTAAGCTATTAAAATTGAAAATGTTGATGAATTTAGTCTAATCATTTTTAGTTTTAGTTTTAAAAATGTACTTTTTTAATTTTTTACTTTTGACTGCAAAATATCAATTTATCTTTTACTTATATTTTGTTCTACCTGTGTTTCTTTTCTTAGGATTATGAACTTTATATTATAAATTTATAAAGGATAGTATTTTAGTGAAGAACCCAATGATGCCAAGCCATTCGATTTTGTAGTAATTCTTAAATTCTCTTGTAAGTCCATTGATGTATGTTCTATCGAAGTTTAATTATTGTTCATTGATATCTGGATCTTTTGAGTAATTTTGAAATCATAGAGCACGGGCATATAACTAAAAAAAAAGTATATAATTTTGAAACAATTAGTTACAATACTAAAATTATATACTAAGTACCTACTATAATGCACAATACTATTAACTTATATAGTTGTTCTTTTCTTCATATTCCTGGGACAATAAGATAAAATTTAATTATTCTATTTTGCAAACATTTTTATTTTATTTATTTTTTGTAGCTAAACTTATGCTTTGAACTTTAGGCCACATTGTCACCACTAACTTAGAAAAAAGTGAAAATAACAACTCGAATTATAATTTTGACAGAAATGACTTGAATTATGGATTGTTTAAACTTTAAAATAAATACTTAAATAGTTTTTAATTTAATCTCGGAGAACATACTTAACATTATTATGTAAATTGTTATAAAAGTTTAAGGTAAATTTGTTTAGTTCATCAAGTGTTACCTGAAAACAGAAATGTGATTATACATGTAGATCTTTTAACTTTGATTCTTATATGCTAATTTGGAATTTTTAATGTAAATAAGCGTTAAGAGCTTTTTAAGTTTATATTCAAACCAAATTTTACATCTATTGTGCGTTTATTTCATGTACTGGCACATTTGTTTACTGTACATCCATTTTTAAGAAGTTAATTTTTATTTTTACAAACAATATAATATGTAAGTCTATCACAATGACCATATAGATCATTGGCTAAGGGTTATGTTAAATAGTAACAACAAAAAGCAGGTAAGTGGGTATCGCTCTGCTGTACATAATGTGTCTAAAAGAGTCACTGTGATGGATCATGGACGTGTTAAATTTGAATAATCATTGTATACGAAAAACGAAACTGAGCAAAGGTCTGTCAGCCTATTATAATTACTTAGTGTACATTTTGTGATATTATTGTGATTAAAATAATTTATTTTACTATGAGGCATTCATATTTAAAACTATAGCAGATTAAATTAATATTTGTCAAAAAAATTGAATTTGAAAATTCAGTGTGTGTACAACATGGATACTGTGCACAATAATGTCAAGCACCCTCAAATAATATTTTTAAATTACAACGAAATAACTAAAACCGTTATCCTTAGCTTAAGTATGTAATTTCGTCCAAATTTAAACTTTCAATAAATATAAAATACATTTTTTTCTTTGAAATCCCGCTCTTTAAGTTATTCGAAGTATTTTTAACTAAAGGATTTTTTGAGTTTTATTAATTTAGTTCATTATTTAGATATTATATCAATGTTTCTAGTTATCTGTAATCTAGTTGTAACTTAGAAGTTATAAGTTCGGAAATCTTTTCAATATAGTTTTCTATTTATTAAAAAATAACAAAAAAGTCAAGCAGTCATTCAAATTATTTTAGTGCCTATATAATAACTTAACCCAAATATCAAGTACCCAACCTATATAGTATGTATATTAATTATGTTAATAAATGTTTTGTTGTTCAAATCAATAATGTTATCTGCTAATATTCAACTTTAGTAGAAGTAGAAGTATAGGTAGTAGGTACTAGGTACGTTACCATACATTCCCTATAGATGTGCGTAAAGAATTATATTTTATAATATGTACATTTTCTATATCGTTATAAAAGAGTCAACATTGATTTATAAAAAGGAATTTTAATTTTCAATTACTGCAGCAGGCATACCTGCCATATTATTACAGACAGGCATAATATTATTTCCCATGCGTGTGTATAACGTAATATGATTTTCTACGAACGGTTCATGGATTAATACGGTTTAATGACTGAAAAGAACCAAGTAGAACGCGGTGGCACACACTCTGGTGAGTGGGGTGGATGACAAATTATCGAACCTTACCGACAAGTTTTTATTTTTATAAGCTCTAAACGCCTTCACACACACATATATATACCTCGAACTCAAATACACACACCACAAACACGGACAGTCACCGTGAGCGTTTTCGGTAAAACTCTTTTAAGACCCGCAATCAAGCGAATCGCCTGCTGTAATTATACATAGGTATAGTTACTAATGCGAGGACGTCAGAACTAGAATCGGTAACATAAAAAAAAAAAAAAAATTAAAAACCGATTAAATCCTGTTGTTGTAGTTGTACCTGAAAAGTCTATTATTTGCCATCAGCTGCCTTAGCAAACCTGCAGTAGAGTGTGCTATGATGGCAGCTGCAGGTGCGTCTCGAATTATTATACCACTGCGAAGGCGGCTACGGTTTAAAAACCCCTAATGGGCCTAATATAGTGACTGTACCTACTCAAAGTACATTATAATATTATGTATAGGTCCGTTCCAACGTTTCCTGAATTTAATACATGTTTCGAATTTTCCTGGCTTTTTGATGACGGCTGCACCATACCGAATCGAACGAAATTTTAACAACAATATACGTCTTAGGTTGCACGGGTGACGTGTCTGTTGAGTTTATACTATATTTTTTCTATGCATTTCTACATCTGTTCCTATTATCAAAACTGGGGAAGTTAATGGAAATAATTAACTCAAGTTAAGTTAAGTAATCGAACACAATATCGTTAGGTTTGAACTTTAGAAGTTAATAGTCAAGAAATAATAAAGTTAGTTCGCCAAGTTTAAACTTAGCATGTGAAAATTTTTAAAATTTAATTTGGTTAAAAAATAGTTAGTCTAATATTTTAATTACTACGTGGATCACATACACAGTTTTTCGTGCTTATCTATTTGTTATATTATTTTATCAAGAAACATATCAACAGAAATTATTAAAGTGTTATTTGAACTTGATGGATTATTTTCAAATCAAATTGAAAAATCTAAACACATTTCAAGAGTCAATTAAACCAGTTCTAACTCTTAAGTTAATTAGAAAATTAGCTAAGTTAAAAAGTAAAAAAAAAAAAACTTTAGTTAGTGCCCCCCTCCCCTATTATATCATAACAATATAAAATTGTAGTAATAATAGTATGCTCTTACACGAAATCTGGTGTATACACTATTTCTAAATTTATTATAATACTCGGTAAGACAACGCACTGTCTACACGGGCATTATCGCGACGGCGGCAAGGTTTAGCGCACAGCCGTTGAAAATGTATATACATTTTATATTATTATGTGTTATTCAGTGCGCTCACATAATAGTCTACAGTGCACTGCAGCCGCTCAAGTATTAATATAATATCGTATGCATACATGGTATATTATACACGGTATACGCGCGGTATATACGGTCGTTGGCGGATGTGTGTAAGAGCCCAGAGACTCTTTGTGTGTATACAACATACACCGTCTTCACACGTATATTAACGGTGACGGTTCGTGTGAGTGTGTGTGTGGCGGTGTATATAATGTATACGCAGCCTGTGTGCGCGTGCAGAGTAGATACATCTATATAGTACGCGTTACCGCGGTGCAGGTATACAGGGTGATTCTTGTGTCCAACGACTCTGTCGTTATTTCGAAAACAATTGACGTCATTTTTTGATACTTAGTCGTTACTTTTTGGACCATTTTCAATTTAATATATTCCGATGCACACCTATACCTGCCTACCATCATTGATTCGGAGTATTTTCGAATTTTATTTATATATGATAATATAATAAAGGTGATATTAATAAATTGATATATTATATTATTTATGTTATATATACAATCGAACTTTGGAGAGTAATAGGTATAAGTTGTAACAACTGTAAATACTTACACATAACTCATCATAAATACTACTCGTCCGTCTATAAGATTTTTGACTTTTATGTATCGAAGTAGGTCCTCTGAAAAATATGCTTTGGAATAAGAAATTTAAGCGCATAGGCGTTATTCTAACATTCAAATAAGATTAAAAAACTTAAAAATGATAAAACAATATTTACAGTATAATATGTTTGAATAAATGTTGTTTCTTAAAGACTTCAAAATTACATTAAAAATATATTTTCAAAAACGTCGAGAGGATGCCGCATGCGTCTTACAATAACGTATAACATAGCGAAATTGAACATTTTGATATATTTCATTTAACTGAGTTATGTTTAATTTTAGAGTGAATTAAACCTATTACCAATTTTAGAAGTAAGAATGTTATCTGGTTAATGACATGGGCTTTTTTATATTTTAATTTTTATGCAAGTTATGAGCATTTTAAAACTACAAAGGTATGGCGTCCTTTTAATAATTCTTGAAATAATGAGAATGAGTATTTTTCAATAAAACAATCTCCCAGTTTACAGGATGGTCCGGAAACTCTAGTCCGGTCTCGAACTAAAGATCAAGAAATGATCGGAAAAATCGTTACATCCGTGGGTTTGTTTAGCTCGTCCAAGACTATATGTCTGTATGCATCAACACTGTACATTACAGGTTCTGCTATATACGACTAAAATATTAAAATAGATTAATATATAATATAATACGAACTTCAGGAAGTTTTGGTTGGGACTTACATATTTACATCGGACACACTGTATATTCGCGACGTGACTCTGCATATTACGTTATTAAATGAACATTGAACAAAGTGGATTTTTATTTCTAATCTCAGACACTCATTATGTCAGTCAACTTTTGTATTTTTTAAAACATTGTTTTTTTTGTATTTTGAAGTACCAATATTTATAAAATTTAATATACATTATACCTGTTAATAGTTAGATTTAAAAATGTATAGGATTATAATATTTTTACAGTTAGTGAATTTTTGTTTAGCTTTTTTTTTAACCATCTATTTAATTTGTATTAAACTTCTAATTTGTAGGATTATTATATTTTTACTAACCGAAAAATATCAAAATGATTACAATCTTAATTTATTTTTGTGATTCTCAAGGTATATGACTTAATTTATTTTTATGCTAAGTGACTTAAGTATGGATTTTATTATCTTTAATTTCATATTCTGAGGAGGAATACTATTCTTAGACATTTCGACGTGTGATTGGATGTTGGATGTTTTAAAATTGACGTTTTAGAATATGAAAGTAACAAACCGGACGGAATACGGAAATTCGTTAGGCACTCGTCTTGCTTTACACATAGTGCGTGTTGCTCCACGCCTGCACTATAGCGATTTTAAGTTTTGCAAGAATGATAAATACATCATAGCATTTGAAACTGATTGAGACAATCACGCTTGCTTGTATTTATTCATTTCATTTATCCCACTAATTTTCCTTACGCTAAGTAAAATTGCAATAAAATCCCCCCAAAAATACAAATCTCTTATTTAAAAGGCACCAAGTAGTATATATGAACTTAAATGATTGATAAATTTGAATGATTGCTTTTTTAAAAAGCGTTCGCTAATAATTGAAACTGTTAGATCTTTGTAGAAATTAAAACAAAATACTGTGGCATAACGAGTATTGGTGAGCTGACAGCATTGTATGTTTTGTGCTGTGACCACGACATTAAGTTGTTTTTTTCGAAGTATTAATCGATCTAAAAATATGCCAAGTCAAACGGCGACTGATGGTCAATGGCAGGATTAGACTTTTGTGGCCACAGCCCCCTCAAATAATTATATCCAAGCTGGCAAGTCGATAAAAAAATGTCACGTTTGACACGAATATTAATATTTTATATCTTTAGAACGATTTATTATTATTTATAAATTATATTACATGATTTATGTCAATATAAGTTTAATATTAATCCTTACTCGTCTCATCCCGGGAATAAAACCATAGTTATTACCTGATGAAAAGCGTCCCGAGAATACAGTCATTCAAAGCATCTACCTATATCACAGTAAAAAAGGACGGGGTTAGAAAATGTGGAGAATTTTATCTTGTTTTCCGAATTCAGCCCGATTAAAAATAATAAGTAAAACTTAATGATCAATAAAAATTAACAAGTTAATACTTTTGATATTACGTAATTAGTAGGTATAGGTACCTACCTAATAACGACTAGGACAATTATTATTGAAAACAAACCCTAAAAATTAGACTAAATCGTCTACTGCAGGCACTTGAGGTATATCATGACAGTTGTATGCGGCGAGTTAAACGCGAATCGTCCTGTATAATGTACCTGGTATCGTACACTGGCCGTGGTGTGTGCGTGCGTGCGTGCGAGCTTCGAAAAAAGAAAGAAGACATGAATGGCGGCGGCGGCGGCGGCGGCGGCGGAGATGAGGTCGCCGAAGAATGCCTGTGTGCTGCCCGGCGCGGATGATGGCTCTCGCCCATGGTCGCCCTCTCGCACAGCGCTCACGCCGAATATTTACGGCCGCCGCAATCCGTCCACGGACGTTACAATAATGTTACATTATCATTTATTATATTATTATATCGTTTGTGACGTGAGCGCATCGTCGCCGTCGGTCGTCGTGCAGCGCATCCGACTACTCGACGAGCGCCCGACGAGACTGACTGACGGAAATCGTATATGCCTACGCGGGTACGTGTCCCGCGACCGTGCAACGAGTACACGTCTCGCGGTCGGCGTCATTTCGACCGTCTCGTAGTACCTATTTTAATATCATTATTATGCCTACCTGTTTATGTTATTCTATCCATTCCCATTTTTGCCGGTCGCATATTAATTATTATGCTATTATCGTCGCGATATATATAGTGGAATTTAGAATTTTCTCGCGGCTATAATATTGGCAATAGCTAAAATATTGACCGAAATATGTTTTCCCCCTATAGACCTTATACTCTGAGTGTAACATTATTCTATGGTTTTCCTTCTAAAGGTATATTATCTCCTTAGTTTATCTTATACTTGACGTTGTGCTCGGGAAACTGTTACATTTTTACAATTCGAAATTCTAATAACTACTGTAGAATTCATTCTAATGTAATTAATATCATTAAATGCATTGAATTAAAATAACAGTCATTACAGTGGTTAAAAACCTTCATAACTCTTTGTTTTTTTTTAAATTGTTTGTGGATGTGTGTTGTTGAGCGTATTGTACTTATCTACGGAGATAAACGTAACAATGTGCCAATGTGGTATTACTATACTACACTTGTGTAGTTTATTATTGTAATGAAGTGTTTTATGTTATACGCTTAAGTAGATAAATTAAATATAAATAAATAAATTCTAAATTTCTAAATAAAAACGTTTATTAGATTCTATAAAACACAACATTATTATTAAGTATATAAAAGTACTTATAATTATTTATCTTCGTAAAGTGCGAAAACAGTCGATACATTCGATGTAACTATGTAAGAGACTAAGTTATGGGAAAAAATATATTATAAAATGGGTTGAATATTTAACTTTAATACTAAACTTACAAGACAAGATACTATGAATATTTATCTATTAAAAATCTTGCCTAAATTTAGAAGAATTATTACCACTTAAAGCCCAAGTGCATTATTATAATAAAATAAAATTTCATAATTTAGACTTTTAGAGGAAAACATTACTCATATAGAAAAAGAAACAAATCTAAATAAGTACCCGAAATATAAATAAAAACCAATCTTGCAATGATTTTGTAGGTACATACCAATATACATTGCAGTATCTAGGATTGTAGATGACGCTTGATCTCCTCATCCCCAGATAGGAAGTACCTACAATTTTGAACATTTCGTGCAGCATAATGGGATTATTTGGAATGAATAGACTATTAAGGGGAACTGAAAACTATCACAGAAACTGTGTCACATTTTTTTATATATCAGTCTGTCAAAATATAATTATTATATTTTTGTTACTATGAAAATATTATATTCCGGCAGCATTCATTCAATTATATGAATTCGTTATACTAAAAAAAATTTATTTTCAATGTTCGTAATGTAACGAGGATTTATTGTGTCATAAATCATCGCAAGCCGCTGCTTTCCTACAGTTATTGTATTATAGCATTATCTACATTTTTTTAGTTAATAACTTCCGAGCCCTACGGATATAATATAATTAAATTCCAAATTAATTGCCGACTATGTTATAGATTATAATATTATATCGAGGGTTTGACTGGACCGACATTTTAAAACGATGTCGTACCTGCATGTTTAGTCTTCGTCTCACTTACGCATAACATACCAACATGCACGTTCAAAAGTTAGTTGTGTTAAGTTTCAGTTTGTGTGGAGTGAGTTGACTTATCGACGAACTTAAAGGTAAAACATTCTCTCTTAAGTATTTTACGATATTTTACTTTTAAATATGAATATATTTTACATATTCATGACTTACTTCAAAATTAAAGTGTCATAAAAAGCCAATGAGATAACACAGACAATGTCCTTACCTCTATAAGTTTGATAATAGGTCGATTTACTGTAATTTTTATGCTAACAACATACAATTGAAACGGTTCAAAGTAAATTTTGGTATGTTATGATAATTTTAGAACTTTATAAGATATCACATGCGGTTACGACGGTATCTCGCAGCATGAGATGGTGTCGGGAGACATACGGATGTGTTGCATTGAATCTAGTTATATCCAGTTTATCTATATTATGCAGACGCGTGACGGCTGACTTTGTTTGATGTCGTATTCATGAACATATATGATTATACTATTTAGGCATACTATCCCGTAAATACCCAGTCGATAAAGGCCTGTCATCTGCCAAGACCCGTGAGAATAAAATATTGAATTAATAACGAGTAAGTCGTAAAAATAATGTTAGGTATAGCCGCGTACACATAGGTATTAACTTTTAGAGTAATCCGCTGTATAGTAATGTAGTTATGACTCATATAACTAATGAGTTACGACAGTAGGTATATAATATGACAATACTGAGAGTATGCACATCGTATGTATAATATAATATATATTAACTAAATATATTTGTTATATTGGATGATAGCGTTTTCTTCTTCGTACATTGGGTATACTTTGATTCAGTCTTCGAGTACATTATAATATGCAGAATGTATATTATATACTTCGATATACAGATGATTCTAAAGCTTAACGATTATATGATAGTATAGAATAAATAAAAGTTCATATCAATAATATATACATATTATATTTTATATTATAATAGGGATACCTACTCGTTATGGTGGTACGTTTAAAAAGTGTTTTTCTTTTTACAAGTCAAACTTCCGTTATTTTGTATTATTATTTCATACAATATTATTATATTTATTGGTATATATGACACGATTAACACCGCCACCGACCTCGACTATGTGATAAACCAGATTTTAATATATTAGCTGCGGGTAAAATGCCTAAGTAACTATATAATATTATATACAGTACAGACTACAGAGCATAGAGCATATAAGACGACTAGTTGAATGCCGAATAGCTGTACATTTTAAATTTTAATGAAATGCATTTAAAAATCGATGCAAATATCATAAGATAAAAAAAAATGGAGGATGTCGCTCTGGTATATTGTTGGTTTGAGGTGTACCTCATTGAGTTGATTACAATAATGGTGTTTAATTTGGATTCGATGGTTAATAATATAAAGCATCAAAAAAACAATTCTGAGTAGATATACGTATAGTGTCAACCATTATTTTCTATAATTTTATTTCCAATACTATGAGTAATTTTTTTTTTCCATTAATAATAGTATGGTATGTTGAACTATTTTCGTGTGAATAGATTACATAAAGTTTAAAATTAGTCAAATATTTTGAAAATGTCATCGAGAATAGGTAGAAATATTAATTTACAAAACAATTTAAGTGTAATTTACAACATAGTATCTAAAACCATCGGAGGAAAAATCGATTTTTTCGTTAAAATATTATTACATTTCGTCCAAGTTCTTAAATCATCTCAGGACCAGAATACTGGATAATAATTTAATAGTAAATTATACTTACCAACAGTAGTTATGGTTGCATAATATAATTAAGAGGACCTGCATGCAGAAGTTTTGAGAAAAATAGAATAGTAGCTCCCTTTATGCCATTTATATGCAAATATAATTAACAGTATTTTGATGGTTTGTCAGTATGTGACAACTAAATTATATTTAGTTTATTTGTAATCGGTTCACATTCCATATGTGCAGGGATGGATATCATAATATTATGTTGTGTGGTCACTGTTTCCAAGCCACTCAAAACGACGTAAAATAATGAATTTGCCTGAACAATAATTGTTGTAAGACTTTGGTTAGACACATGATCATTTTGTAAACGGATTTTGATTCAGTTGGTTCAAGTTTACTATGTTTGAAATGGGTGGCTTTCAGTATTACAAAAACTGTTTATTTCATATATTATATTATAAAACAAATTTTAGAAATACCATTCTTACTATTGTAATTACTTATTAGATGAAGAAACAAATATTGAAATAATATTAAAAGGGGCTTATTCCAACATTATAGTTATCCAAGGAAGAATTAATTTTTGTATGAATACGTTTTCCGTAACTAAAGGCTTGACTGGTCTGAGTACTATTTTTAAAGGTTTTATACTTTTATCGATATGAAACACGCTTTTGTTCTAGAACTTTATTTTTATTTCAGTAGGTACTTACCTATATTATATTTTTTAATTAATACCTAGTTTACTTAACTATTTGAGGACTATTGTTCATGTATTTTTTTTTAGTTTGCTCGTATAGTCGTGTTGATGGTGAATGTTGAACTATTTCCACTGTTTGGAATTTTAATAATATACAAGATGATTTACGTGATCTCTACTGTTCTCCCCGTTAATAATGCATTTTTGAATTTTGAAATTGAATAGTATACTTGACCATATTTTAGTTTTTGGATTATTATACCATTTAAGAAGTGTTCTGTGTTGCTACAATTTTTTTTTCAAATTTAAACCTTCCGAGGTTGTTTGTAATTGTATATTTTTAATGAGATGATTTTTTTCCGAAAATTGTATGCCGTTTCTAAATACAAATTCAAACGAGTTAGTTTGTGCTGAGTCATTAAAATTTATAAATTAATAAGATCTTAATTAAGAATTAATAATAGTCTTTAAAAAGGGTATTACAAAAATGTAAAATCAATTTAATACAAAATCTAATAACTACTTATAGAAATGATAAAATATTGATAAATTAATATAAATCAAGTATATAATTTTCAAATCATCAAATCAAACGTATTATCGTACACCTATTCTCCTTAGTACCCAAAACTAAAAGATTCAAAAACTACTCATTTAAATTTTGATTTAAACATAGGTAACAATTTTCAAAAGAGTTACCTGCTTAACAGTTTATAATAATAAAGGGAGGTTTTCATTTGAAAGAAAGAAGTTGGTATCGTCACAGTACCTATTCTCCTTAAGCGATATGAAAAATCTAAATAATAGAAAAGATACTTTAAAATATAATTAGGTATACATTACATACAATTAAAAAGAAAAAATAGGGGTGAGCTTGCTTGAAAAATGCACTATAGCAGAGGTATTCAAACTGTGCGTCGCGGCTTCCAGGGGTGTCAAGTGAGTTGTCGAAGGGAGCCGAGTAGAAAAATTGAAAACCAATAAATATTTTTACGAAAAACGTTTGCTATTATCATTGTGGCACACCGGTTGGGAAACGTTGAATTGTCTACAACGATCACTCGCCAAATTAGCTTTATTTTTTTTTATGTATGTATAATATGGTAAATAAATAATAAGTAGCAGTCAACATTTTGTGAAGACTTAAAAGAGCCGTGGGATGAAAAAGTTTGAATACCTGTGCACTATAGAATATTTTAGACAGGGCAGAAAACTGTCGAGAGTGTGTATAGCCATATAGGTATATTTCATGTTGGTAAATTATACATAATATATTGATGTGAACTCCTGTAATTCATATATATGGCATAGTAGGTAACTGAAAAAATGTCAAGCGATACGTATTATAATTTAGTATAGAAGGTATAACTAATAAGCCACGGTATTATTGATATGCCTGCAGCTGATAACAAAGAAAAATGAATAAAACATAATAAATTGAATTATTGAGAATTGTCGCTCCACCGTCGAGGGCCAAAACAATAGATCACTGCACAGGTCAACCGTGTAACTACTACTCAGGTATATACTATAACTAGTTAACAATTTTTATTGCGCAAATGCAAATGTACCTGTACATAATATTATACCTCGTGGCTTGTGTAGGTACATACAACAAAAATATAACGCCTCTGACAGCTGTACTTTATAGAAACGACGACGTTTTCAGAGTGAATTTCACTTTATTTGAATAAGTTAATAATATACATTATGTGCCTATGCATATTATAATGTGTACACTGCGGCGAAGCAATGCCACAGATTCCATTTTCTAGGTAGGTATCTGTACGCGTTGTTTACATCGTTTTCCGTTCAAATAGTTTTTACGACTAAATCGACTTTCGGAACAATATAATATTATCGTAAGTACTTACTTAAACTATATATTGAATAGTAAACACCGATCATTAAATGAGATTTTTTGAAAAACTGCGATGTTTTTATATAATATATAATAAAATAATGGGCTGAGCGTCGGATATTAAACTATGCAGGACTATTTATCTCGTGAAGTTTTAAATAACCATAATTATACACAATATTTAAATTGGTACTATCGTCTTCTCGTTTTAGTCTTTGTGAATGGTTATACTTATTAATTATTAGTTTATTAGTTATTACGTTTAACGTTATATAGATACATACGGTAGTTCTTAGGTAAAAACTATTTTTATCGAAAAACATTAGAAGTTATTCCTTCTTTACATAATTTGAAGTCATTACAAAACCACATTTTTGAAAACAAATCATATTTATTCATCGTTATTATTGTTAAGTTTTTTATTTTTTTGTATGATGCCTAGCATAAATTCTGGATTTCCTGTTCTAAAGTAGAATATTTTTCTGATAATAGTTATGTATAAAAATCGAATTTCGAACAAGAAGTTAATTATATAGTTAATTATCGTGAGCTCGGATTAAAATACAAAAAATGCCT